AAGCCAAACAGTACACCGAAGGTACTACTAGGTATGGATGTCTCACAGCTTCTGGTGAACCTCAAAATTTAGATGAAGCTCTAGAGAACAGAAATTGGAAAGAAGCAATGGATGCTGAGTATATGGCATTGATGAAGAATAAAACATGGCATCTAGTTCCTCCACAAAAGGGAAGAACATTATAGATTGTAACTGGGTGTATAAAATTAAAAGAAAATCAGATGGTAGTCTTGACAGGTATAAGGCTCGCTTACTTGCAAAAGGCTTCAAGCAGAGATATGGTATTGATTATGAAGATACCTTCAGTCCAGTCATTAAATCAACTACAATCTAAGTTATTCTATCTATTGCTATCTCTAGAGGGGTGGAGCTTATGTCAACTTGATGTACAAAATGCTTTTCTTCATGGTATTTTAGAGGAAGAAGTGTATATGAGGCAACCTCCAGGATATGAAGACCCCTCAGTACCAAACTACCTGTGCAAACTAGATAAGGCCCAGTATGGGCTTAAACAAACACCCAGAGCATGGTACTCAAGACTCAGTGCAAAGTTACAAGCACTAGGTTTCAAATCATCAAAGGCAGACACATCATTATTCTTCTACAGTAAGGGAGATGTTACGTTGCCAGCTCTACTCCAAATGTGATAGCAGCACTGCTACAAGATCTCAATCAAGAATTTGCTCTAAAGGATCTCGGAGATCTTCATTACTTTCTGGGTATAGAGGTGAGCAAGTTACATAATGGTATTATACTATCTCAGGAAAACTATGCATCAGACATTCTTAGACGGGTTGGCATGAGCAACTGCAAACCTGTTAGTACACCTTGTCTACGTCAGAGAAATTATCCTTTCATGAAGGTTCGTTACTTGGTCCTAGTGACGCAACTCAGTATAGCTAGGAGTGTTGTTGGTGCCTTGTAGTATTTAACTCTGACTAGACCAGATATTTCTTTCTCAGTTAATAAGGTTTGCCAGTATTTGAACACTCCAACCACAGTACATTGGGTAGCAGTTAAAAGGATTCTTAGATATATAAAATACACGACCAAGGCTGGACTTCAAATTAACAAATCTTCTTCCTTGCTCATTAGTGCCTTTTCTGATGCAAATTGGGCAGGGTGCTTGGATAATCGATGTTCCACTAGAGGTTTCGCTGTTTTCTTAGGTCCCAACCTTGTTTCTTGGAGTGCTCGAAAACAAGCTACAGTGTCGAGATCAAGTACTGAGGCTGAATATAAAGCACTTGCAGATGCTACAGCTGAAATCATGTGGATTCAAACTCTATTGCAGGAGATTGGAGTTCATGCTCCTAGAATAGCCAAGATTTGGTGTGATAACATAGGATCTAAATGTCTTTCTGCTAATCCGGTTTTTCATGCTCATACTAAACATATTGAAGTTGATTATCACTTTGTTCGAGAAAGGGTCACTAGAAAACTTCTTGATATAGAACATATATCCACTAAAGATCAAGTTGCAGATGGCTTCACAAAACCTCTAGGTGTGCGGCAGCCGGAAATCTTCAAGAACAATCTAAACATGAAATTAAATTAGATTGAGGGGGAGTGTTAGATAAACAGGTATGCATGTATGTTGTATGTGTCTTCCTAATCTGTAACAACCAAGGATATCTTATCCCAGGAGAATAGGTAGTCCCTAAGAATAGGTAGTCCCTGCTAAATAGGTAGACCTGGTAGTTTGTGAGTTGTTATGATCCAAATCCCCTGGACTAGCACCTGGTTGTTGTACTCTATGTAAAGACCACGCACAGGGCTATTCTGGGCATAGAAGCTAACACGAAGCCGTCGTACTCTCGATATTCAGAGACGACGTTCCTCCCATGCTCTTGCGCCTCTGGTTTTTCACAACTTTTACTTAAGAAATCTTGTTTGTGGAGTCGTCTCTTCTTTTTCGAGGAGCCAGTTGTAATTCTAGCCGCACCCTACAATTGGTTATAGAGGCACAGCTGACTTATTGCACCCTATAAAATCGAATTTTAAGGGTGGTTGATAACGTTGACCCTCTATTGTAATGACAACAGGTGTTACCAACCACCCCTAGTAATGGTTCGTCTCTAATAGTACTGTGCAAGTAAGTTCATAATTGTTTCAAAAGAAGTCGGACTAAGACAAACTTTATATCAATATTAGAGGTCGACGAGATAAAAAACTTCATAGTCGATAACTTCTTTTATTTAAGATTATTTAGGGGTTGCAATATACAGTATGTTTTAAATTCACATACCCTTAATTTTTTTAAATTTTTTCAAATGACTTTAAATGAAGACATATTATATACCAAAGTTATAGCATTCAACAAGATCTAAAAATTTGTAGTGTTAATTGTTTTAATAGGATCATTTAGATCCCTGACTAGTTAATAAAATAAATAGCATGTGATGCCAGGTTACAGCTGACTTAGTAGTGTGGTGGTCTGTGAGATTTTTCCTACTTTTTTAGTTGCTTCATGAAGCCACTTGGTGCGACATGGAGAGATGAAACGAATTACTTGCATCATCTTCCATTTACATGTCAAACTAATATGAAATCTCAGGTCTCAAATATACTCCATCCATTCCAAATTATAAGTCATTCTGACTTTTTTGGAGAGTCAAAGCATTTCAAGTTTGACCAAAATTGTAGAGAAAATTACAAAAAAATATGATATCAAATAGGTATACTATGAAAATATAGTTAATGAAGAATCTAATGATACTTATTTGGTAGTATAAATATTATTATTTTATAATATAAATTTGATTAAATTGAGATGCTTTGACTCTCCAAGAAAATTGAAATGACATAATTTGGGATGGAGGGAGTAATTGCTAATAATATGTCATTCTTGAATCCCTACATCACCTTTTGATGCAATTCCACTTCCCATCAACCTTTGTTAAATGCTTATTATGTTTCTAAAGTATTTCTCAAATCGTGTGGAAACGTATAGGGAATTTTTTCTTGAACACACAAGAGTGTTGCGTATCTTTATATACATTAAAAAGATGAAAAAGGTATAAAAAAAGCCCCTAAAAACAGAACCAGACGCTCAAAGTTCCCACTCTTTCTCAAACACACACTTCAGAAACAAATAAGGGAAGACACACCGAAAAACTTGGGAGAGACCACCAACAATGGAAAAACTTGTTTTCTTATTATTTTTAGAGTAAAATATATTTTTCAACCTCCAACTTACAAGATAGTCTGATTTTTAACTTTGAACTATGAAACCAGGTAACAACCATCCTCCAACTGCCAAACTGGACAAATTTGGTCCCCTAAGTGGCTTCCAAACTACTTTTTATTTTCTAATAAGAATAAAAATCTGATTTAATCTCTAAGAATTTATAATTAGTTTATTTTAAATCATAAAAATGAAACTAGTTCTAGTTTTCTTCTAAAAATGTCATCTATCTTATGGTGCTATATTTATAGTTATTCGGACCTTACTTGTTTTAAATAAATAATGGACACAAGCAATAAATCCATAGGAATAGAAATAAACCAATTCCAAATACTTATATACATATAGGTCATAAACAAGTAGAGAACATTTTTAGAAAAATTGATACTAGTTTCATATTTTCCTGATTTAAAATAAATTATTTATACAACTTCTATATAGTAAATTAGATTTTTATTAGTTTTATAAGATAGAAAAGAACCTCTAAAACTAGTACGAGGATCAAAATTGACCAATTTTAGAGTTATCCGGTTTTATAGTTTAAAAATTTGGAAATTAGATTACGGCGCAAGTTTAAGAATAAAAAAAATGTCCTTACACCTGTTTTTATTGTGTGAATGTCAAGTCTATTTGACGGGTGTAGTATAGTCTATGGAAATAGTATACTGGTCTCTGGGGAATCTTTCCATTATTATGTGACGTTGCCCTTTGAAATTGCTGGACATGTAGTTGCAATCCTGAATAAGTTGGGTACCTGGATTTATTCATGAAATTTGGATGGTCACAAAATGGATGGATTTTATTCAATGCAATTTTTCTTTCAACATTTTGCACATTTTCTTTCTAATAAAATCTTTGTTGTTTTCTTATCAGAAATCCAATTTTTAGTATTCGAATTTGGTATAAATATTAAATGTTCAGTCTTTAGATTTAGATACGGACTATCTATGTATGGTTTTGACCCTTTTAGAGCATCTACAAGAGACTGTAAAATTTAGATCCAAATTTCTGGTTTTCGAGGCTCTTTAAAAATAATGGCTCTCTAAATAGAAACCAGTCCAATACAGATTCTCTATTCTATTTCATTATCTATTTGGAAGATGTGCTACAGAGGCCACGTGGGGGAGAGGGATTTGCTTGGGGGAGAGGAGCGTTGGCGGGAAGAGGTTTCAGCAGCCTATGGCGAGCGAGTGCGGCTCGCCTTCTTTGCAGAGTGGGATTTGTGGAATAGCGCCCAGCTACTTTTAGATAATATGGAGACTCTATTGGAGGCTGATTTTGCACCAAAATCTCTAACCCGGATAATGTGGCAGCAGATAGAGTCTCTTGGAGATGCACGTTGTTCGCTGGTCTTTCCTCAGTTATGTCACGTTGGCAGGTCTTCCTTCAATTAAGTCAAGTCAATCATGCCTTCAACTCCATGGTCCATTACGCGTTTTATTGGTCTACTAGTGTTTGTGGTTTCCCTGTACTTTTCCATCGCTCCCAAACAGATTAGGGGATCGGCAAGTCAATAGTTAGTCCTGTGATAAGTCCAGTCCACAGTATCCTAGTCAGTCAAGGTATCCAAATTATTCAAACAGCTATATAAAATGGAGAAAAAGAGATCTGAAATTTCTATTTTTCTTCATGGCGTATCTATTAGGGGATCGGCCCGGTTGCTAGTCATCCATAATATTATGAGATGCCGTTCAGTTTTTTCAAGAGTCAACGACCTATGCATCGGCTGGTCTATTTACATGGCGAAGAGATGGAAAAAAAAAAGAGAAAGGAACTGGAAAAAAGAAAACACACTTCTCCGACGTGAAGAGAGATGGCTCATGCACTCGTCTTTCTTCTCGTGTTTCATCTTCTCGTCTTCCTGTCCAATCCAATCGCAATCTTAGCAGCAGGATCAACCAACAATTCCGAGATCGACCGGCAAGCCCACCTAAACTTCCAGCTAGGCATCAGCGATGATCCACTTGGCGTCCTGAGCTCATGGGGAAACGTCTCATACTGCAGCTGGAGAGGGATCACCTGTCGTAAGGCTCTTCCACTTCGAGTTGTTTCACTAGACCTGTACTCGCTGCAGCTGGCTGGACAATTGTCATCGTCTCTTGCTAACCTTACTTCGATAATACGGTAACGGTTAGATCTTGGAACTAATTCGTTCGATGGACCCATCCCTGAGGAGTTGGGCACACTTCCTAAGCTTCAGGATCTGATCCTTGCAAATAATAGCCTGTCTGGTATTATCCCTGCTAGTCTGTTCAAGGACTCATCTCGACTTGAAGTCATCAATCTCAAAAGAAATTTCTTAAATGGGTTTATTCCAGATTTTCATAATATGGCAACTCTGCAAACTCTTAATCTTGCAGAGAATCAGCTTTCAGGAAGCATACCATCTTCAATAGGAAATATTTCTTCTCTCCGCATTAGTTTGCTAGACCAAAATAAACTTACAGGATCAATTCCAGAAAGTTTGGGTCAAATTTCAAAACTTCTTGAACTGGATCTGAGTTTCAATTGCTTGTCAGGGCAGGCCCGGTCCTGGCGGGGGTCGAGCAGTGCCCCCGCACTGGGCCCTTGGGGCCCTCTCAGGAATCTAAAGGCTGTGTTGGTTTGGCTGTCAGGCACGTTGCCGGTTTAATTTGCGACACGTTCAACCTTGTGGCATCGTTTCACTTAATGCTCGAGTTGTAGCCTATACTTGTATAATCTCAGCTTCTATACATGTGCTTGTGCAACGTGACGTGATCCACATGACTTTGTCAATAGACTATTAATTCCTATTTTCTTTGTCCCACATTATA